AAGGGGGCACATGCAGGGCTTTTGCCGGCGATATAGCGCACGTAGCATTCGCGGAACTCTGCGGAGCACATGTTGGTCTGTTTACCGCCGGGCAAGACAGTGAGGAAAGCACGTGAGTACTCATCAACAGCGCGATAGACAATGGCCTCGCGCGGATTATTTGATTTTTGTATATATATTTAATCAACATCTGATGCTCTGTAGTCTGCACTAGTCAGCAGTATGCGAGGTTAATTTCATTTTATTTTTCGTAGTTACGGCACAAGTTAGCCTGTTTTTTAACTTCCGACATCCTGGATGCCTAAGAATGTGGCCTGGTCTTTAACTTCAGGCATCCTGGTTGCTCGTTGCGCGGCTCGTAGCCGCCGTTGCACTCGAGGAACGGCATAGTTGCCCGCCAGTTTCCCCTTGTCTTAACGAGATGGAAGTGCGAGGTGCGGACTAAGCAGATGTACTTGCCTGTCGCGAGCATCGCGAGCCAGTTGTGCGTAGAACCCAGCGTCCTTGCGTCACGAAGCGTCTCGAATTCCGCCGCAATCGAGCGGCGCTCACTGTCAAAGCGCGCCTGCATCAGTGCATCCGCTGCTCTTGCTCGTGCATCTGCAGCGCAAAGAGGCGGCGCTACTCTGCTCCAGCCTCCTCGATGACAATCCTCAACTGCTGAGCCTGCTCGGCGATCGCCTGCGGCGCCGCCCCTTTGAGCGACCGCCAGTCTTCGAACGCGCTGCCGCCCGCGTTGCCGGCCGCGCGCTGGGCGCTGCCACTCGCTCCCTCGCCTGCGCCGCCGGCCGCGGGCTCGCGCTCGATGAGCGCACTGCCACCCGCTCCCTCGCACGTGCCACCGACCGCGCGCTCGGAGCTGTCGCCCGCTCCCTCGCCTACGCCGCCGGCCGTGCACTCGGCGCTGCCACCCGCGCTGATCGCTCCAACGTTGTCATTGAGAGCGCTGGTCGAACCACCTGCGATGGTCCAGTGGTTCGACTTGGAGATGACGGGCAACGCTTCCGGCTTGCGCTTCCGGCCTGAGCCATTGCGCGAGCCACCGTGTTCACTCATCGTGCTTGAGCTTACGCCCGGGCGCGTTCTTTTTGCCTGCAGAAACTTGATTTACGCCCAAAATTTTGAAAAAAGACCTAAATAACTTGAAAAAAGGCCAATTTTTTTCTTCGCCTAGCCGGCGGGACACGCCCGGGCGCTATTGCGAAAAACCGGGTGCACCCTTGCTACTACGCATACACCCCGCACCACCCGCGGATCGGAAGTACCACATGAATACACCGAACTACTACAGGAGGCAGAGTACGGCAGAATAAGACCCTCGGTGAATTGCTCACGGCATCGCGCAGCGGGCAAGGCAGACAAATATGCGTAATCACCATCGACGCCAACATGACACACTTCACGGCGACACGAGAAATTTAGTAGAACAACTGATATGAGTAGCCAATTCTTTTATAATATTTTTTATTTTAACTGGCGTTACGTAATTGTTGTATAAACCTGGATTAATTTATTGCTACTAAATACATATTTATCAAGGGTGTGGTGCTCAGGGTGGCACACGAGCTGCATCTTCGGGTTGATCGAGCAGGAGCCAACTTAGATCGTGAGGTCGGCTTGGATCCTGACGATTTTGAAGCCCCCTTGCGCGGGCGCGCGCACGCTTCGGCGGCTCCTTCCTCATCAGCCCCTCCGCGTACTCCTCATCCTCGTCCTCGTCGTCATCTTCCTCCTCCTTATTCTTCTCCCCCTCCTCCTCGCCGCTGATCGCCTGCGCCGCCTGCGCCAGCGACGACATCCCCCCATCATTGCCGCGCGCGTTCTGCCCCCGCCGGGCAGAAGGCGCGAGCTGAGGCCGCCCCTCATTGGCGGTTGGGCTGAACTGCGCTTTCAGCTTACGCACGCGCGTCTGGACGGCCGGCAGAGGGACGCTGTGCACAGCATCCGCCTTTGCAGCCCGCGCAGAGCGCATGAAGCGGGTGTGCTTGTCCTGCTCTGCCTTACCGTTGGCCCGGTCCTCAGCGCCGTCGGCAGCCACAGGTGCGGCGCCCTCTCCAATGGTTGCGCTCTCGTTCATTGCCGCGCTCTGCCCGAGCGAGGCGTCGTCGGAAAGCGAGGCTGGTGCGTCAGCCGCGACGGCGGCGTCCGCGAGCGCCAAGTCCTTCGTGACGAGTGCGCTCAGCGACGGCTGCACGGGCTCGGCGGGCGAAGGCGCGTCTGCCCCGGTCGCGCGCTCGCCCTTCGCTGTATTCGCAGCCGATACATACGCATCCAGCCCGGCGACACTCAGTCCGGAGTCCTGCGCGACACCCAGCCCATCGCCGCTGCGTGTCGAGTCCAGCGAGAAGTCAGCGCCAGGCCCGAGCTCGTCGGCTGTTTTTGCCGTCTTTTCAAAACAAAAAAGGTTTGGAAATCACAACTGTCGCGTAGTAGGCGCTGCCGATCAAGTCATGGCAAACCGCATAAACTGGAACCGGCCAAATTCGGCGTCGCGGGGCGAGGACAGGCACCAAAGGACGCCGTGACCGCGCCAAGGCGATCCCGGAGCACGCAGACGAGAACGTGGCCGTACTTGTAGCACACCCATGCGCGGGAGGCGTGGTGCGCGCCAAATTCGACGCATTCGACATTTCGTGGAAAGAAGTGGTCTTGGTGAATAGGAGCCACCCTTGTTGCACGGGCAGGCGGACAAAAGGGCAAAAGAGCTCAAGGGTAAAAAGGCAAAAGGCGAATATAGATATCAAGTGCCAAAATGACTATGTGTTAACTCTATGCGCCGCCGGAGACTCGAACTCCGGTCGCTCGCTTGGAAGGCGAGCATGCTAACCACTGCACCAACGGCGCAGTAATAATGATAGTCAATGCGAAAACAGCTTTATACAAGTTATCAAACAGTATTATATCACGCTCGAATTTTGGTTAAAATAAGTTAATATGTGTTTAACTAAGATAACCTTAAATGATCGATTTGTTACAGGATTCGACGGAGGGAAATTTCGGGAATGCGGCTCGACACGTGATATCTTAATGAGAATGACTTTCCACTGAAGTAAGGGTGATTTTAATTGAAGTTCAGGAGGTTTTCCGGCCATGACTCTGGACCAGGCAGCAAAAGTACGGAATCATTCGGAGTGCAGCGCGGTGTTTAATTTCTTCGAACTACTTGTTCTACGAGATATTATGGCAATACTGGAATTCTAAGTTGGGTCACCCCCCTACCGCTTCATTGAACTATGGCCGCCGCACGGAGGTCCCCCCCCTCCAAGCCCACCTCGGCACCCCGAATCCGAGCCAATGAAGGACTGGCCGCCCCGCGTCAACGCGGCCTTTCGCGAGGCGATAAGCAGTGCGTGCGCTCGGTCGGCATATGCGCAGGTAGCGGCGATCGCGGCGGCCGAAGCGGCTTTGGCGGCCTCGGCGGCCTCGGCGACAGTGCTTATAAAAATAAATTCAAGATTACAGAGAAGAGTTTTTGAATCAAAAACGAATCGCAAATAAATTTCTTGCGCGGCAGCGGGCGGGGCGCGCACCAGGAGGGTGGCACGGAAATTGCCACCAGTGTAAATATATATTTGAATACGCCTGTTCCCTGCCCAAGAGGCGCAGAAGAAGTCGGTGCGCTTAAAAGGAGCTGCAGGGCCGGGACCGTGATCCGCGTTTTGTTTATTACAACCTACTAGAGAACCATTTGGAAGTGTAAACACCCCGCTTGGGTCTAGTGTGCACACCCCGGAAGTGTGGACACCCCGATCAGGTCTTGCGTTCACACCCCAGTTTTTCGTGATCCATGGAGGAGGTAATTTTAGAAAGCCTCTGATGAGGACTGAGTCTGAAAAGGGGGCAGTGGAATATGCCTAATGTAACTACTCCCCGGTTGTACGATGCATTAATAGTGATGTATTGCTGCTGATACATATATATAGCGGCTCAGCATGGTGTTGCTGATACATACAATAATTACACACAGGTTTTACCATGCTGACGATATAGATGTTATATTCATGATAGGGATTCAAGCTGGCGTCTGACTGTCCTGAATGGTGTGCTGGTCTGAGCACTGCGTCGCCCATTGCCTGCTGCGTGCCTTAGTCGGCTGCGCTGGCTTGGGCGCCACCGTTATATATATGTGCCGGATCGCGCTGCCCGCTCGCGAGGCAGCCCGATGGGCTGCCTCGCAAAGCTGTTGTACGCACTGCTATCGGCCACCTCCATCACGGACGCTTCATCTACTACCTCATCCACCGCGCCTCCGCGCGGTTGCTCGCGCCATGCGCGCGCAAACAAGTTCACGGCATTCCAAACCTAAACCCGCCATCAAGTGAACTCGCTCGCGCTCGACGTCTCGGCTCCTTCGGCTCCTTCTTCAGCCAGTCCTTCTAACGCGCACCCGCGCTGCAGCCCGCGCCCCGCACGCGCGAACGAGTTCACGGCATTCAAAACCCCGTCGCTTCCTAGCGACACGCCGACGGTGAGACCACCAATGAACTCGCTCGCTCGCG